CAAATCCTAGAAAGGATCCTGTAMGATCCTGTAGTATCTTATTCTAAGGAACAGGATCCTAACAAGGATCATGAGCAGGATCCGGCATAGGAATAAGATCTTAAACAGGATCATATTCTTATAGTCCATATCGCAACCCGTGGAAAGCCTTGTGACGCAGTGCATTTTGGGATTTGATAAATGAGTAAACAAGTTAACAACGATGTCAGTGCTCCAGCTGTCTGTAACGTAGACTCAGTCTTCGAAAAACATTGGGAAATAGTGATATTGTAGTTAATCTCAGAGGCGAATTTCCATTTACTAGGCAAATCAAACAAAAATGAAAAGAAACATATTTTGTCTGTGGAAAAATCGAAACTAATTAGTGTTTTTACGATTTTAGCGATTTGTTTTGCTGAAGAAAGGGAGATATATCCCATGATACATTGCAAAACCATTCAAAATGGCGGGATTGTGATATGGACTATGTAAGATCCTAAGTAGAATATGATCCTAACCAGGATTTTCACCAGTGAAGTTGCTGACTGAGATAATTGCGCAGTGTAACAGCATTTTTAGCATAATCAGCAATATTTCTTGTGATCATTTTAGAGTGCCGATGGAGGTGCAGTGTGTGTAGCTTTGTCAAACCAATTTCAGTACGCCATGGTAAACATTTTGAACTCTAAAGTACANGATCCTAACAAGGATCATGAGCAGGATCCGGCATAGGAATAAGATCTTAAACAGGATCATATTCTTATAGTCCATATCGCAACCCGTGGAAAGCCTTGTGACGCAGTGCATTTTGGGATTTGATAAATGAGTAAACAAGTTAACAACGATGTCAGTGCTCCAGCTGTCTGTAACGTAGACTCAGTCTTCGAAAAACATTGGGAAATAGTGATATTGTAGTTAATCTCAGAGGCGAATTTCCATTTACTAGGCAAATCAAACAAAAATGAAAAGAAACATATTTTGTCTGTGGAAAAATCGAAACTAATTAGTGTTTTTACGATTTTAGCGATTTGTTTTGCTGAAGAAAGGGAGATATATCCCATGATACATTGCAAAACCATTCAAAATGGCGGGATTGTGATATGGACTATGTAAGATCCTAAGTAGAATATGATCCTAACCAGGATTTTCACCAGTGAAGTTGCTGACTGAGATAATTGCGCAGTGTAACAGCATTTTTAGCATAATCAGCAATATTTCTTGTGATCATTTTAGAGTGCCGATGGAGGTGCAGTGTGTGTAGCTTTGTCAAACCAATTTCAGTACGCCATGGTAAACATTTTGAACTCTAAAGTACAGGAACTATTTCATTATGAACCAGAAAGCACCAAGGGAGTGATTATCAGAGTTGGACCTGTAAGTATCGCTCCATTCTATTACACAGGGTTCTCTATTGGGCTTCCTGTGTTGATACCATGACGAGAAAACCTGGAGAAGAGAGAAAAATAACAACACAGGGATCCCAAGCAGTAGAGCTGTCAACCCTCCCGGATTAGCTGGGAGTCTCCAGAATTTGAGCCTCGTCTCCCTGTCTCCTGGATAAAGGTTGAAATCTCCCAGATAATCGTAATACTTTAAAAAATGTGGTCTTGTAATGTTTGACATACCCAAAATATTACCGCTTATGAAAAAGGTACTTTTTGAATCATGAGCTTACGATTTTTAATTTTCTTTGTTCAATAATAAATGTAGCTTTGCTTCCTGTCCATGTAGCCGCCCCTTTGTTGCGTTACTTCACATAACCACAGGAATCCCAAAATCCAACAATTTATGTTAATTAGGTTTTTACGAATCTCCAGAATTGAAAAGTCGGGGGGGGGGGGGGGGGGGGTTGACAGCTATGCAGTAGGATTATTGTAGTCTCCTTGCTTCTCATCCCAACTTGTCCTAACACCCTTCCTCTCTTTCTTTCCCCGCTTCCTTCACCCCATGACTGGCAATGCAGAGTGTTCTTGGATTCTGGCTCCATGAAAAATTTTGCAAAGATTCTTTCACCATATTGGATTCAAAATGCAAAGCATCCTAGATTTTTTTTTGTCTTCAGTAGACTGTGTAGCGACCCTCCACAGGGATCCTGAGAGGGCCACTATCCAGGCTATGTCTTCAGTGACTTGATTGCAATTAGGAGCATTTGAAGTCACTAATTTGGATTCAGGATTTCTCTTGTTTTTTTGTGTTTTTTCTGGATTCGGTTTCCATTGCTACAGTTTCCAGATTCTAAGTGATTCCAGAGCTGAAATTTTGCTGGATTCCAGATCCCGTGTCATGGGAGCATAGATCTTCCTGTGTCCGTTTTTTTTTTTTTAAGCATACAGTAGGTTTTATTAGKATTAGTAAATTAATCTGTAAAATATTTTTGTGCTTTGTTTAGGAGGAGTTTCTATTGAATGGTCCAACAGATTTAATGGGAATGTTTGTGACATCAGAGGGGACGTCACAGAGAGCTCCACTTAGCTGGTCCAATAGCATTGAAGCATTGGGTTATTCATTTCCTTATGTTATATCATTGGGTAATAATGTCCTTACAGCCCACAGGTAGGAAGTTACAAAGACTAATAGTTGCTAAAAGTGAATTTCCTTATATTTAAAGCAACAACAGCACACAGTTTCATACCCTGGCTAGCTCCCTTAATGCAATGTTGTCATTGATCATGTTACCATAGTACACAAGTATCCAAAACAAGACCCAACATTGATGAAAGGGGGCTAAGGGGGRAAACTGTGAWAAAATAAAGGAGAAAAATGTTAGGCTGGAGACAAATAATTGTACGGTCCAAGGTATTTTTTTTAACAATTGTTGGAAGAAGGGGCTTATGAGTCAGAGTTTTTGGACTGGCAGATTCAGCCTTTTTTGGTGTGGATTTTTGATGATTTTTATTGTGAATTAATTGTGGATTTACTAAACTTGTGGATTATTTTCATGTGGAGTTGAATGAATACACCCCTTTAAGTAGTTCTGTGAAGTTTGCTACATGAGTGACTATCTTGTACATGGAAATACAAGGAAAATCACATTTGACTAATTTATASATAATCCTTATTGGACAACTCAAACCTGTTGACACACAATAGAAATAAACCTAACCTGACATAAAATAGAATGATTGTGTTACACACAGAAAGGTCCAATACATTGTTAGTGTAATAACACAGCCTGTCTATCTTCTAGTATTGTCAGTCAAGACTCTAAAACTCAAAGACAAGTGATAACTTTCAAGGTATTTGTGGTTGGAAAAATTATTTTGGTTTGATGGTTTTTCCTCAACCAGTTCTGAGAAATTTTCCAACATAGTACTAAATCCAACATGCTTGATGGCAAAATGTCCACTGGGATGTTCATGCATGGAAAATTTTAGTTTGACGGGCTGCGTATTTTTGTTTATATACTTTTGACATCTAGTACTGGTGGATTTAGTACCATGTGACCATTTTATGCAAGAGGCCTACCGTTATTGTTTTCATATTTCAGGGTGGTAGAATGCTTCTTAACTATGAAAACAAAGTCTTTGTCTGCTCTCAGAAGGAACTGTATTGCCTTGTACCAATCCCTTACAAAAAACAGGTGTGGTGATAATAGTGTGAATTGAAAAGACGTGAATGCCTAGAAATATATATTTGGGAATTGTTCATTGACCAATCAGAAGCAAGATATTCTGTTATCAAGTGCATTTTAAGATGCAAATTTGATCAATGCTTTAACATTCAAGTAGTCTGATTCCATAAGTCGTAGTTTTGTTCCTCAGTTTTTGGTAAGTAACAACTCTGACAGAGAGCGAATTGGGACTGACTTATGGTCCAATCAGTCTAACGTCCAAGTAAATAAAACAGAAACGACAACAGCAACAACAACAACAAAAAAAAAAAACGTAAAAAAAACGGTGTTCTCAAAATTATTATTTAGATAAAAAAGTTCCATCGATTAATAAGTTTTTTCACACTGTAATATACATAGTTGACAATGAATTCAAAGAATATGAAGAAATTCATTGGAATAGTTGCTACTGTTTCATCACCTTTCAAAAGTCACTCACTCAAAACTCAAGACTTTCTTGCCTTGCCTTGTTACATGTAATATTGTTTCAAGAATTTGAGAAGAGATTGTTTTTATTTTCTCTTTAGATTGAAGCTCTTCTTGCTGACAAAAAAGTCAATGAAGCTCTTCAGCTTGCACACATTGCCATGGAAACAGCRATAGGTGAAGATAGAGATGAAAAGGTAGTCATTTTTCTCTTTGTTGTCATTTTTCTCTTTGTTTTCATTTTTCACTTTAAATGACTTTTGAAAAATACAAAGGACTAAAATATAATTGCCAATGAGGGTGAAGACTAGTCCACGTAGGGACAGCATAATACTCTCTACTCATAATACACTCTATCCAAGTTTTGGCTTAAAGTGACACTGTCAATGGATGACATGCGCAGTTAACAGTCTTGCCTCTAACGGACTTTGAAAGTATTACCTTCGAGGTAAATTAATGTTTTGACACACTTTGGAAGATTCTAGATCTGTTTACGTTTACGAGTACTTTTTTTGTCATGCATCGCGCCAACTTGGAGTCGTAGACTTGAAAACACTAGCCTAATGTTTTCAAGTTTATTCGCGCATGCGTGCATTGACAGTGTCCCTTTAAGAAGCAAGAAACAAAAATTGTTATGTTAGTCCATTTGGGATATTCCATACTCACTTTCAGTGAACGCAATCAAAGCATTGAGTTGGCATCAAGCTCCATTAAACATAACAGAAATGATAAGTGCTTTTTGTTCCTCCATGCCATGTTCAGTGCTTTGTTAGTGGTCACTGAAACTGGGTCTTACAAGTTACAAGTACAATTGGTTTTTACTAATAGGCAACATTTTACAAGCAAAATGTCATTGCTAACACATGCATGACTTGGATTGTATTTTGAAGAGTCATTTGAATGTTTTCAGCAAGCATTCCCACCCCATCCCTCCCTTCACCTTATTAAACAAACCTCTTGACAACACCGTTGCCTTGGAGCCAGGTAGCACYGATCCGAACAGATCTCATGATAGGTTGAAAACAAATAGTGGACAAACAAGAAGAATTGATGGAAGTCTGCCAACAATAAAACAAAGCCTAACCTAACAATAGAGCTGCTGTACTTAAGCAATCAAAAATCAGGCTTCAATAGGTGCTGCATTAATGTTGCCTTGAGTTTTTTATTAATAATAAACTTTATTTACAGTCATTGCAAAGAAATACGACTATATTACAAATGTAAATATATTATATATATGATAAACTCTAAAATATGTACATCAGGCTCAGAAATATGAAAAACGTTTACAAAATCTTCTAGAAATCTTTTTAAATCTGATCACTAAAGAGTTTGTAAATTTCATGCTATATGTTAAACTGTTTTCGTTTTTAAAATCACCTCTTTCGACACACTACACCAAGACTTTTTTTTTTACAAAATCAGTACTGCAAAAAAGATTCTCATAAGCATTTGCAAACCCTGACTAAAAAAGATTGTTCATGTCTCTTAGTTCATTGAAGGTTCTCTTCTACATTTTTTTTTTTTGCAGCTTCTCAGTGAAGTCCAACAGCAAGCAGGGTTTGTTTATTTCTCTGAAGGAGTCTTTGCTGATGCAGCTGACTTGATGTTAGAGGGAGGACTGGATCCTAGAGAGGTCAGATACTAGCTACAACAATAGCAGAAAAATCAAAAGCACAGCAGCAACAATAGCAATCAACAATAGCAATAACAACAGCAGCAGAAACAACAGCAGGCAAAACAGCAACAACAACAGCAGCAACAACAACAGGCAAAACAGCAACAGCAGCAACAACAATAGCAGCAACAACAACAACAGCAACAACAACAACAGCAGCAGCAACAGCAGCAACAACAACAACAACAGCAGCAGCAACAACAACAAACAACAACAGCAATGACAACAGCAACAACAATGACAACAACAACAGCAAAAGCAGCAACAATGACAACAGCAGCAGAAATAATAACTGTATCAACAATAGCAACTATTCATTTTTATTTGTTTAGTTTCCTTTCAGTGCTATTATTAGTAAATGTATTTATTTTCAAAATGAATGTTTTTTTTTCTTTTTTTTTCAGATCATAACCCTGTTCCCATCATTGCTAACTTCATCATGGACCTTTTTACCTTCAAAAGACATTCACTCTATAAAAGACATCAGTGGATTAAGTAAGATTTGCTTAGACATGATAAAGGCCACAGGCAACCCAAACTTATTAGACTGCACTTAGCAATGAGCTTGGGCTGCCTGTGTAATTTAGACAAATCTTTTGTTTACATTTTGCTGATTAAGTAATATAAATAAAATTTTCATGGATCAGAATCACCCCAAAAGGCACAGGCAGCCCAAAGTTCATTAAGCATTTCATGATTTAACATGCAATCATGCAATCCACCTTACAAAACTCTATTCATTTTTCAGTGAAAGGTAGCAAGACATTTATGGCTGAGGCAAAGAACTTTCTCCTTTCATTTTTGGTAAGTAATAACTTACTTACTGTCCTGGTAGAATCCATTAAATGATATATTGTTCTGCCAATGGCACACATCCAGGGCATTACAAAGGAAAAAGGGAGCGACTAGCCATCCAATCCACATCTATTGGCCTAATATATAGCTCCTAAATGGTTGCAAATGTTGCAAACATTGTAACATAAAAAAAAAAAACGTTTAGGTTTTCTTAATAGTTAGTTATCTGAAAGCTTAATATTTCATTTCCAGGAAGAATCCAGACAAAGATCATGTTATCAGCTATGCAAAGAGGTTTGTTTTAATAATTTTAGGGATGAATTAATCTATCAACATTATCCGTTCAGGTCGTGGGGGGC